TGAGATATGGCTGTATATCCGCACGGTGTTAATATGTACGGCCGTATCAACGCCGTGCCGATATACAGCCATATCTCACGTCTACGAGTGTGATATTGCATTTATACAACAGTTTGACGGCACGAGTGTTTAAATATATAAGATAAACAACAACGGAGTGTCTTTAAAAATCCTTTTGTGCAGATCTACTTCCTTCCGCCACAGATTCAAATCTCAGTTTGGCTGTTTAACAGCTGAACCCAAACCTCCGTTACTAATTCGAAAACGTCACTTTAGAACTAGTAACGAAGGAACGTTGAGTTGCTTCATTTAAAGCTTATTGTAATACTGTATTAAAAGCTCTCTGTATTATATGTGGAATATTATGAGAGAGAGATGAACTGAGCAAGTGTGATTACCTGTATCTGATACAGCATTCATTCTTCAGCTCAATCTCATATTCACAATAAAACATTAGTTTGAATGTCCGCTGAGGAAAGCGATATCTTTATTGTACTGTCCTTTGATCTGTAAAAGTGGTCATCTGATGCAAAATTCACTTTTGTTGTTGTTTGAATATAAATGTGTGTTGCAAGTGTGTGTACACATCCACCCTATAATGATAAAAATCCACCCAGTGTTTTTTTTTAAATCCCTATTTTAAAATCCCCTTTCTCAGATCAGGCTGTTCTGAGATTTCTGTCAGAATGACGTAGTTCTGGACAGGCGCCTCCCACGATAGTTGATTGACAAGGCCATCTGTGAGCTGTCCACCTTTGTGTCAACTCCAGTGCAGGGGAAGACAAGAATGTCTCCTAAGCGATTGAGATGTTTTGTTGTTGGATGTAATAATGAACATAGCAGTCGTTATTTACTCCCGACATCTGAGCTTATCTGAATAAATAAGCTGATGCCCTGGAGCTCACATCTCCGAAAACGTCGAAGCAAATTTTCAAATAGACGCTCTCTTTATTAACAAACCGCATATTTAAAGTCTAAACAAGTACATTCTCGCCTAAAAAAACTCTTAAAACTACTTTCCGTGACACAAAGACAGTATTACCATATTGACCCAAATATAAGACAATGTTTTTTTCTTGGAAATACATCTGAAAAAACGCGGTCGTCTTATATTCAGGGTCTAGGCTTTGACATGTCAATAATACACCCGCAACAATAGGTGGCGCCAAATACGCATTAAAACGAGTGTGCCATGAAATACGTAAATGCGTATTGTAAAGATTGCGACCAAACTCCCTTTGTGATTTTAAAACGTAAGACAGTACCCAGATTTGAAGACTACAGTAAGATTTAACTTCTACTGTTAATAAGATATTGGTAGGCTACTATTAGATGGATAACCTAAATGTCCTAATTCGGGCTACCTGTTTTTTTTTTATGGTATATCAAAAAGTGTATATTTTTTTGTGTGATTGTTGGTACATTTTACCAGTTTTTACCATACTTTCAAAACAAATATTAAAATATGCAATATGAAAATCATTGAAGACAAAATGTGTCCAAAATGTACATCTGGAAAAAGGGGGGTCGTCTTATAATCAGGGTCATCGATTGTTGGTACAGTTTACCAGTTTTTACCATACTTTCAAAACTAAAATTAAAATAGGAAAAATATGCAATATGAAAATAATTGAAGACAAAATGTGTTTTACTGAGAAAAAAAACAAGATTTGGTTTTTGAAAAGCCTTTTTCCAAAAGGTACATCTGAAAAAAGGGGGGTCATCTTATAATCAGGGTCGTCTTATATTCGGGCCAATACGGTACTTTTAAATTTTTGTGGATTTGGGCGTCCGCCATGACACTCCCTATGAGAAATTAGGGAAGCAGAGTGATACAAATGGTGAAAGTAAGATATTTCTGTAATTTCTTTTTACTGTATATCACCCAGTATAATACTGCAAATTCCCTTTACAGTAAATAACTGTAATTCCCTTTGCATCATGGGAATTTACTGTGAAGTCAAACACCACATACAGAGACTTGTTTTTTTGTTTTTTTAAATTGCTGTACTACTGTATTTGCCGTGACAGCCTCTTTGGCGCCATTCCATTGACGTTTTGTATTTTCCTCATTTCTTACATTTGGATTGGCAGGGTTTGCCTTACACCGTGTCTACAACGCCACAACAGCTCGAGACTGTCTACACTGGATGTGTTAAACGCTTGTAACGATTGACAAATTATACTACTGTATGTCAGAAATATACCGGGGCATCAGTTTACTGTCCGGCATCCATTGTAGATAGTATCACTGATTATAATCGGTTCTATAAGAAAGACATCAGAAAGACCAGCAAACAAGGTCCTAAATATATTTATGTATGCCTGTATGGTTTTTTTGTCCGTTTTTTTGCACACCAGTTTAGCCTAGTAATATTTACCCGTAAACATGGTGGTAACATAAACTTTAACACCATAAACTGTGCTGTCATTTCAATTATCAAATGACTTTGTCAGCTTATTGAATTAGCAAATTAAAATTATTTTAACGAGCAATGCTTATCTTATATTAACATTAAGTTAACTAAAGTGACATTTTGTTCAGGTGTTAACGTTGGCCAGCCTATTGAGAAAATGAAACCGTATGTTAGCTAGGTTAAACAAAAGTTTTACGGCCGCCTTTCCAGTTTTAGCATTAGTTTGTTAGTTTTTTTAATAGAATTTGAGATTTACTGCATTTTTTGTGTGTTTAAAGGCAATGAAGCATCAAGAAAGACATGAGCAGGCCAGCCACGCTGAGACTGATAATTCATGGTAAGACAAGAACTTCACTATGATTTTGAGAGGTTTGTGTATTATATATGGGGTTTTCCTTCTAAAAATGTGTATTTTTTTTCAGGGAACATATTTCTTTTTGTAACAAAGTGGTTGGTGAGCAAAGGTGGCCTACGTTTTGGAGCAGCACCTGGGATTTAAAAATGCCTTATATCTATTCTTTGACTGATTATATTTTTTCCCCATTATTTTTCTGTTGCCTGAATATTCTTTGTGAGGATAAATCCAGAGGATACAACATAAAGCACTGTAAAAAGTCATAAGACAGGAGAAATGGCGAAGATGCACTGTTCCTAAGTGTTATATACACAATGTTTTAAATAAAGAATTTAATATTTTGTAATAATTGTGTCTGTTTGAATTGAATGTCTGTAGCACCTATGTAGGATAAAAATTAAATTAATTCTATATTAAAAATGATCAAATCTACTGAAATCTATATTCAAATGAATGACTTACACGATTACAGTACCACATAGTTACTGCAAAACTGAAATACAGTTATGGTACTCTAAATCTTAATTACAACCCTTTGAAATGTCTAACAGTGATCATTGGTTTGATTCCCAGAACTGAAAAATTGTATACCCTGTGTAAAAATGTCTGCCAAATGTATATAGTACAAGTTAATGTGTTTTGAAACATCTTGAATTGTTCGCTTTGAATTAACTGTTGATATTAAATGATCACCAAATGATTGTGACATTGCCAACTGGAAAGATGTGATGAAATCCTTATGTTCTCAGTACATGTCACGATAATTTTGTGTTTGAAACAATAGTTCTGAGAAAGAAAACGAAACCGACATCCTAATGTAAGCAGCTAAATCTACAGCTTTTAAATGTGTTGAAAATGTTATACATTTTTGAGTTTTATAAGCTACTAAGAGTTTTGAAAATGTACCACTTACCCTGCAACTTGTTAAAAAAAAAAAAGTAAACTTCCGAAACGGAGCTGGTTAATAATGTCTTATGAGTACGTACCGAAGCAAGAGTTGATGAAGCCGTACCACATGCAGCCGTTCCGTCCGAGCAGCCACCGTCCCCGCACACTGGACGCGAAGCTCAGGGTCGTCCCGAACATACACACCAGCATGTCACTGACGCTAATGTTAAGAAGCAGCACGTTAACTGGCGTCCTGAGCGTCTTAAACTTACAGAAGAGGACTAATACGATAAAGTTATTGAAAAAGCCGAAAGTCATGATGAATCCCAGGAACACTGACAGGGCGATGAAGCCCGCGCGTGAGAGCGTCTCCACTGGCGAGTCGCTCCAGTCCTCATCCAGAAGAGTTAACCGATCTTCCTCGCTCGTGTTAAAGCTGTCATTTAAATCAGCCTGCTCGGAAAACATCGTTAGGAATAGTTAGAAAAGTTATTTTGAGCCAGTGCTTGATTTCTTGAGGTAAGAGCCTCTAATTGATCCGTTAGTCTCCTTTAGTGAACACCCCAGCGCAGCCCGGCGCATCAGCATCATGATTCGGTACAGATGATGAAGGTGGTGATGATGATGATGATTCTCATTGACAGCGCGCTTCACCTTTCAGAGCACTTGACTGTTGACAGGTGCGCTTCGCTTGACGCTCAAAAGAGACACACAAGCCGATCTAGGTAGCAATCAGACGGTTCTGCTCATTAATTTCCGCAGTATCCATCAGAGTTTTTGAACTAGTATCAGTTTTTCACGAGGTCGTAGCGCGCGTGTCGCTGCAAATTAATGTTGACCGTTTGGTGTCCGTTCATGTGCTTCATTTGTCTGCACATTGTTGCATTCTAGAGGCAAAATGTTCCCTTCTCAGTCCCAGCTGTGAACCCGTCGTTCAGTATTTCAGCTGAGTGCGCGAGCTTTGCTCCATGGACGCGCAACAGGCGTGTAATATAAAGGCATCTTGACATCATGAGAGAGCGTTATGAGCTTATTGTAGTTGACCTGCAGGAGACGACCTAATAGGTATAATACCACTGGCAATTTTGATCTGGTGGGTTTGCTGCCAAAAAGCTCTCTTTTTTTAGTTCCACCTGACCATAGAAGCCAGTCCCATTTGAAGTTCCAGTCGGGTCTGACTGCTGAATATGCTGGGGGTTGTTTTTGGATGAGCAAGGAGGATTTTCTTGAAATCCTCCTGAACAACATGTTTTTTAACACTCTAAAAAAAAATGTGTGTGTTTTTTTTTTTTACCCAAATGCTGGGTTCAGCTTGTTGGGTAATTTTATTGGGTGATTTTTAATAATATTTTTTACCCAGATGCTGGGTCATTTTATGATGAAACCCCTCACACACCTACCCAGTGCTGGGTCAGTGTAACCAAAGACTACAGAATACCCAAGACGTGTCACTCGAATAGTTTTGAATGGGGAAAAAAATGCAATGCTCAGTATAGACCAATTCAAGGACGTAAGCAATAACAAATGCATTGGAATGCTACTGTTGAAATCATAGATATGTAGGGCTATAGGTAGATGCCCCATTTGACTGCGCCAAGCACAAAGATGCGGCCGCCATCTTTAACGGTCAACTTGATGTCATTCACCATAATAATCAGTGAATATTCGAAGATGCCACAATCCTGCACAGCTGATGGTTGTAAAAACCGCTGGGATTTAAATTCCCGAAGAAACGGGATAACGTTTCACAGGTGAAAATGTATTGGTTTGTGTTTTTAAATGTATTAACTCAATATTACAAGGTTTGAAACATTGATAACTTATTAGTTAGGTCTACACAACAACACGTTGAGCTCTCTCGGCCACCGAACACGAGGGTTCACAGACCATCAGCTGTTATGGTGAATGACGTCAAGTTGACCCTTCGAATATGGCGGACGGCTTACATGTAACAGCCCATAGAAACAGTTGCTAATGAGGCATCTACATATACATATCTATGGTTAAAATTGTCTATAGCAGGGGTGACCAAACTCGGTCCTGGAGGGCCAGTGTCCTGCAGAGTTTAACTCCAACTTGCCTCAACACACCTGGTGGGAAGTTTTTAGAATGCCTAGTAAGAGCTTGATTAGCTGGTTCAGGTGTGTCTAATTGGGGTTGGAGCTAAACTCTGCAGGACACCGGCCCTCCAGGACCGAGTTTGGGCACCCCTGGTCTATAGCCACTCTATCGAAGGAAGTCCTGCTTTCTGAGTAAAAGAGCCAATTGCGAACTGGTAAAGTCATCGCGTTACTGCAGCTGCCGTTAGAAGTCCCAGTTGTTATAGAAACAGTAAGCGCTCTGAGATGCACGCTTAGGATTGTACATGTGCATTGGCTGATCTAGCCTGAAAAATAAGCTCTTTTAATGCTACTCACCAGATCTACACTCAAAGCGAACAACACGCCGGTGCCACCACGGAAGTTTTACTTCCAGTCAAACAAATGTGCGACCAGGGCTGAATGGATTAATGAATGAGGCATTTTATATAGCGCTTTATTGTGTATTGCTGTACAACCAAAGCGCGTTACAATCATTTAATGGGATCTCTCCTCAACCACCAACAGTGTGCAGCATCCACCTGGATGATGCGACGGCAGCCACAGTACAACGGCACCAGTGCGCTTACCACACACCAGCTATAGGTGGAGAGGAGAGAGAGATAGAGCCAATTCATTGGATGCGGATTATTAGGAGACCATGATTGACAACGGCCATTGGAGGCAGTTTGGCCAGGACACCGGGGATACACCCCTACTCTTTATGAGAAGTGCCATGGTATTTTTAATGAGCACAGAGAGTCAGGACCTGGGTTTAACGTCTCACCCGAAGGACAGTGATTTTACAGTATAGTATCCCCGTCACTATACTGGGGCATTAGGACCCACTCGGACCACAGGCTGAGCACCCCCTGCTGGTCTCACTAACACCTCTTCCAGCAGCAACATAGTTTCCCAGGAGTTCTCCCATCCAGGTACTGACCAGGCTCAACTCCCTGAAACACAATGCAAATTCGCTGTTATATGTGACAGACCCTGCATTCCATTCAGAAGGGCTAATCCCTATATGCCCTAATCCCTTCGAAGGGTTTACCCTCCGGAGTGAGAGCTTCAAAGGGATGAAGGTTCATTACCACCAAAATGAACAATTTTTTTGGAACGCACTTCTGCGTCACCTTAACAAGACGATCAAGGAGGCGCCTTCGTCACACATTTTGTATGCTGGTTGACCCCCCCCAAAAAACACGCTCGGAATGAGATTGTGCAAGCTGCGCCTTTTGTTTAACGTTATTTATTTATTCATTTTTGGTTTATCGCACCAAGGCCAATGGATATTACTTCATAAGCAATTGGTTTTAAATGGATCCATTTTGCCTATGCATAATTCATGCCATGTAGTTCTCAGTTATGCCATACAATTTATATGCCAAATTCACATAAATACACCAAACAACTTCCCTGTGCAAAGGATCATGGGGGCCCGAAGTGTCCATCAGTTGTACCCTTTGAAATCCTTCATTCCGAAGTGCCCTTTGACGTGGCCAGTTCTGAGCACTTCGGTTTGGAATGACACTTCAATATGGCGGCCATGATTGTTTTCACTCCGAAGTGCCGTTTGGAACGCACCGAAAGATGCACTCCACTGACTACAACAGAAGTGCTATTGATCTAGTGTTCCATTGGTGCAGCCACTTTTAACTAAATGCCGGACCTAAATGACTGTTTACAATCATTGGACAGACCGAAGATTTTAATTCCCTTCTGTAGTTGCTGCATCATCAGAGAGAATCGCAGTAGCAGAATACAGGTCGAACTGCTGACCAGACAAATAGCCTGATTAAAACATAAGTGACAAAAAATAACCAGCGAAGTATCAAAGAATGATTCTTCTCATTTTTATCAGCCTACATTCAATGTAAACAGCAATTTATAATGCATAGTATATTTATGGTATCAAGGTCGCGCTGTTAAGACTCACTCTGTTTGTCTCTTTGTGAGAGACTTCAGAATGAGCGTAACAGCACACATAGACTCAGAAGAAACACATTGAGGTAAAAATTCTGAATGTTTAGTTTATTCATAACATGATATAGTTAAGTAACACCATGACAAGTGAGCTATTTTGCTAAATATTCTCACAACGCAAAAAAAAACATTCAAAACACCTACAGAGTGCACGCATTACGTGAAGTCTAGTGCGCATGCGCATTTACAATGCGCTCTTTCACTGCATGATTCAGTCTATTAAAATACATTCAGAATTATCACAAATTCAAGACATGGGGGCAGAAAATGTGTATATTTATACCACTTCATATAGTTAACCAATTTCACATGAAGAGTGCCTTTTTTCTCCAAAAATTACTATATACAAATGTGATATTGATTTTTTACAACAGTTCAATAAACTAGAAGTTTTATTAAGAGACTTACGTTTTAGACACCATATTGCCTGTTTTTGCACTATTTCGCCAACAAAAATAATTCCAAACAAAGCCACAGCGCTGTTTTGCGTCTTTGAGCAACATGACAGCATTTTGTTCCTGAATGAATCAACCTTTTAAGTGATTCGGTTCAGTCGCAATGATTCACTTATTAACTGTGACTTGCTGCCACCTACTGGCGGTTTTAATTTCACATTTAAAGTATCTTTTCATTTTTTAAATAATTTCAAAATGCATTCATGTTCTGCATTAAACAGTGTGTAAATACATCTAAATGCCACTTCAGATGCAGCTTATGTTTGGATTGCAAAGATGAATTTTGTTGATACTGATTTCATTTGCTTGGTAACAGCCCAGATGTCTTATTATTCTTATTCACTGATTAAATGTAAGAATTTGACTCAAAAGATAATGCACCCTTTAAGAAAAAATGGCGTTATAAAGGTAAAAAATGCCCATAAAAGGTAAAAAATCAGTTTAAACTTATTGGAAAAGATTAATTTCTATCTGACCACCACACAGAATATGAAGAATATTAAAAACTTTAGGAGTCAGCTATCCACGAAAGTCCTTAAGATACCAGCGTGATAACACACTCAATCAGTTGAATAAATGACTCAATGACTCACTCATTCAGTGACTTACTGCCACTACACAAGTATGTTGAAAAGTATGCATTTTTCCCCTCAACATTTCTTATTTGTATATTCATAAATGCATTTAAAGGGGTCATATGATGCTTTTTTAAAGATCATTATTTTGTGTATTTGGTGTAACAGAATATGTTGACATGCTTTAATGTTCAAAAAACACATTATTTTTTTAAATACTGTACATTACTGTAGGTCCTCTATGCCCCGCGAGCTTCATCTTTCAAAATAAATGTAAAGACTGCCCGAAAGGGGAACAGAGTCTCGACAGACACAGTGATGAATATGTGTTTGCAGTACACAAGCCACGGTTAAGACAGCTGACTCCACTGTGATGTGTCTCGCTCTCTCTCTCTCTCTCTCTCTCTCTCTGGCTCTCTCTCTCTCTCTCTCTCTCTCTCTCTCGCTCGTGCGCTCTCTCTCTGTCTATCTCTCTCTATCTCTGTCTCTCTCTC